GCACACGCACACGCACACGCACACACACACACACACACACACACACACACACACACACCCCCCACGAAGAAAAAAAACGCCCTCGTTGCCCAACTGCGATGCAAGATATGACGTCATCAAAGAAAAGCGCTGAATACTTGCAAAAGAAATCCTCACCTTCGACGAGATGGTCGATCACGTAACGTTTTCGCAATGGGAAAATGAGCCTTAGAGGTCTTCCCAATGGATTCTTACGGGGCATCCGTGTAGGCTTAAGTCGTAGATTAAGGTGGGAAGGTGGGAAGAGAGAGAGAGAGAGAGAGAGAGAGAGAGAGAGAGAGAGAGAGAGAGAGAGAGAGAGAGAGAGAGAGAGAGAGAGAGAGAGAGAGAGAGAGAGAGAGAGAGAGAGAGAGAGAGAGAGAGAGAGAGAGAGAGAGAGAGAGAGAGAGAGAGAGAGAGAGAGAGAGAGAGAGAGAGAGAGAGAGAGAGAGAGAGAGAGAGCAGACACTGAACGCCCACATACTTTCTTTTTCTTTCCATTTTTGTTTTTTTGTTTTGTTTTGTTTTGTTCATTTTTTGCGTTTTCCATTTTTTCTTTGGTTTTCTTTTTCGTAGTCTCTCCTTTTCTTTACATTTTCTTTTTCGTAGTTTCCCTTCTTTACATTTTCTTTTTCGTAGTTTCCCTTCTTTACATTTTCTTTTTCGTAGTTTTCCTTTTTCTTTAGTTTTCCTTTTCGTAGTTTTTCGTTTTTTTTTTTTTATTCTTTCGCTTTTCCCTTATCTTTTTTTTTCATTCTACAGTGCGTTTCTTTTCTCTCTTTTTCTTACTCCACTCCCTGGATATCTATAAACCTACTTCCGTTCTCCCCTTTCTGTTCTTTATAACCTCTTTCCAATATTGTTCGATATTCCCTTCTCATACCGCTTCCTTCCCCCTTCTCTTGGCCGTTCTTTCTCGGTTGCCGCTGTCCTCCTTTCTCCTATCTATTATCTTCATTTCCCTGTCTTCTTTGCGCGTATATAAATTAAACAGAAACTGACACAGGCAAAGAAACTGTCTCATCTCCCTCCCTCCCCCTCCTCCCCCTTCTCTCTTACTCTCTCCGTCTCCATCTCCCTCTCTTCTTCCCTCTCTCCCTCTTTAATCCCTCTCTCCTTCCCGCTCTCCCTCTTTAATCCCTCTCTCCTTCCCGCTCTCCTCTTTAAATCCTCTCTCCTTCCCTCTTTCCCTCTTAATCCTCTCTCCTTCCCGCTCTCCCTCTTTAATCCCTCTCTCCTTGCCGCTCTCCCTCGTAAATCCCTCTCTCCTTCTCTATCTCCCTATATCCCTTCCTCCCTCCCACTCAGTCTTACTCACTCACTCACTTAACTCTTCTCCCTTCCTCCATCTCCCTCGTCCCTTTATCTACCTTTCCATCTCTCCTTCCACCATTCCATCTCCCGCCACAACCCTCCTGACTGAGCCCCCATGCCCCCCCCACCCCCACCCACACCCCCGGCCGTGCAAAAGCGGGCATGAGGGCAGATGACGCAACGCAGACTCCGGGAGGGGGTCTGGAGGGGGGGGTTAGGTAGGTGGGGTCGAGGGAGAGGGGAGGGGGGGGGAGAGGAGGTCGGAGAGATTAGGGGGGGTTGATGATGATTATGTTTGTCTGGGACGTGAGCCGCGCACGCACGCACGCACGCACAAGCACGCTCTCGGCCCCGCTTGTGAAGACTACACGTAAACATATACAAACATTTACACACAAACATAGATACATATTGAGAGGCACGCGGAAGAAGAGAGAGGCCGGGAAGGAGGGAGGTAAGGGAGAGGAGGGAGAGGTGAGGGAGGGAGGGAAGGGAGGAGGGAGGAAGAGATGTAGAGGGGGTGAGGGAGGAAGGGAGGGAGAAGGAGATAGAGAGAGGGAACGAGGAAAGGTTTGAGAAAGCGAAAGGAAAGACAGAAAAGAAGAGAAGAGAAGAGCAGAGATTACATTTGAGAAGAGAGAAAAAAGGATAATAAACAGAGGAATGAAAAATCCCCAACCAGCTTCCCCTCCCCCTACCCCCCACTCCCTACCCCCAACTGCCAATCATCCCGTTACGCTAATCTCCTCAAGCATCTGATGTGTGGGAAATGATGCTTGGGGGAGAGGAGGAAGGGAGAGAAAAATGGATAATGTTTGGAGGAGGAGGAAAGGGAGAGAAAAATGGATAATGCTTGGGGAGGAGGAGGAAGGGAGAGAAAAAAGGATAATGCTTGGGGAGGAGGAGGAAGAGGAGGAGAGAAAAAAGGATAATGCTTGGAGGAGGAGGAGGAAGGAGAGAAAAAAGGATAATGCTGGGGAGGAAGGAAGGAGAGAAAAAAGGATAATGCTTGGGGAGGAGGAGGAGGAAGGGAGAGAAAAAAGGATAATGCTTGGGGAGGAGGAGGAGAGAAGGAGAGAAAAAAAATAAAGGAGGATTGAGAGAAAAAGGATAATGCTTGGGGAGGAGGAGGAGGAAAGGAGAGAAAAAGGATAATGCTTGGGAGGAGGAGGAGGAAGGGAGAGAAAAAAAGGATAATGCTTGGGGAGGAGGAGGAAGGGAGAGAAAAAAGGATAATGCTTGGGGAGGAGGAGGAGGAAGGGAGAGAAAAAAGGATAATGCTTGGGGAGGAGGAAGGAGAGAAAAAAGGTAATGCTTGGAGGAGGAGGAGGAGGAGGGAGAGAAAAAAGGATTGTGCTTGGGGAGGAGGAGGAGGAAGGGAGAGAAAAAGGATAATGCTTGGGGGAGGAGGAGAAGAGGAGAGAAAAAAGGAGATGCTTGGAGAGAAAAAAGGATAATGCTTGGGGAGAGGAGGAAGGGAGAGAAAAAAGGATAATGCTTGGAGGAGGAGGAAGGGAGGAGAAAAAGGATAATGCTTGGGGAGGAGAGGAGAAGGAGAGAAAAAAGGATAATGCTGGGGAGGAGGAGGAAGGGAGAGAAAAGGATAATGCTTGGGGAGGAGGAGGAGGAAGGGAGAGAAAAAAGGATAATGCTTGGGGAGGAGGAGGAAGGGAGAGAAAAAGGATAATGTTTGGGAGGAGGAGGAAGGGAGAGAAAAAAGGATATGCTTGGGGAGGAGGAAGAGGAAGGGGAGAAAAAAAGGATAATGCTTGGGGAGGAGGAAGAGGAAGGAGAGAAAAGAAATAATGCTTGGGGAGGAGGAGGAAGGGAGAGAAAAAAGGATGATGCTTGGGGAGGAGGAGGAGGAAGGGAGAGAAAAAAGGATAATGCTTGGGGAGGAGGAGGAAGGGAGAGAAAAAAAGGATAATAGGATGAGAGAGGAGGAGGAGGAAGGGAGAGAAAAAAGGATGATGATGGGGAGGAGGAGGAAGGGAGAGAAAAAGGATAATGCTTGGGAGAGGAGGAGGAAGGAAGAGAGAAAAAAGGATGATGCTTTGGGAGGAGGAGGAGAAAGGAGAGAAAAAAAGGAAATGCTGGAGGAGAGGAGGAAAGGAGAGAAAAAAGGATAATGCTTGGAGGAGGAGGAAGGGAGAGAAAAAAGGATAATGTTGGGGGAGAGGAGGAAGGAGAGGGAAGAGGAGGAAGGGAGAGAAAAAAAGATAATGGGAAGGGAAGAGGAAAGAGAGGAAGGAAGAGAAGAGAGAAGAGAGAAGAGAAGAGAAGAGGAAGAAGAAAGGGAAGAGGAGATACTGGAGAAGAGGGAAAAGGAGAGGGGAGAGAGTCGGGAGGAAGGGAGAGAAAAAAAGGATAATTCTTGGGGAGGAGGAGGAAGGGAGAAAAAAAAAGTAAAGTGAGGGGAAGAGGAGGGCGAACAGGGGGAATGGAAGAAGAGAGAAAGGAAGATGGGGAGAGCAGGCGGACGAGGAGGAAAGGACGAAGAAAAAGGAGACGGCATAGGGGAAGAAAGAAAGAGGAACAAGGCGAAAGGGAAAAAGAAAGGCATAGGGAGGGACGAGAGGAAGGAAAGATAGAAGAAGGGAAGAATAGGGAGACAGGGAGAGCAAAGGGAGGATGTGGAAGGAAAGAATGTACAAAGTGTACAAAGGAGGAGACACGGGAAAAGAGAAAACACTAACGAGGAGATAAATGAAAGAATAGGAAAGACACCGAGGAAAAACAGAAATGGAATAGGGGAAGATGGTGAAATGAATCGAAAACAAAACAAAACAAGGGAAGAGGAGAGAGAAGAGGAAGAGGAAGATAAGAGGAAAGAGGAGATGGAGACGGGAAGAGGAAAGAGAAGATAAGAGGGAAGAGGAGATGGGAGAGGAAAGGGAAGAAAAGAGGGAAGAGGAGAGGAAAGAGATGGGAGAGGAAAGGGAAGAAAAGAGGGAAGAGAGAGAGGAAGAAAAAAGGAGAGAGAAGGAAGAGAAGAGGAAGAGAGAGGAGAGGGAGAAAAAGGAAGAGGGAGATAAAAGGGAAGAGAAGAGGAAGAGAGGGAAGGAAGAGAGAAGAAGAAGACGAAAAGGAGAGGGAGAGGAGAAGAGGGAAAAGGCGAGGGGAGAGAGGCGGAGGAGGGTCCATTCTCGGCTCCCCCAAAACACTTACCTCCCCCACAAACCACGCATTACCCCGGCATCAACCCTTGTCTGACGCCCATAAATCTCAATAGATTACATTCTTGGTCTGTCGAGTGAATGCATGGATTCAATTCTTGAGTCGGGAGGGCCGCTGCCGACGGTGCCACCGAGCCTTAATCTGACCGCTCAGTCCGTGCCATTGGCGGCCTCCTTTGCGCACGTGAGGTTTGTGCGTGTGTGTATAACCATTGAGGTTTTTACATACATGCTTATGAATTCACGCGTGCATAAACGTACACAACACAACATACGACATACTAATAAACAAACAAGCAAAAACAAACAAACACAAACATCCCCCTAACCCCTCCCCCGTTTTACACACACACACACACACACACACACACACACACACACACACACACACACACACACACACACACACACACACACACACACACACACACACACATAATATATATATACACGAGCCCATCTATTCCAAGACGAAAGCGATCCCGCACTGACCTGGGTAGCGGTACTGGTGCCACGTGACCGGGGGCGTGGCCTTCTCCTGCAGGATCCGGGGCGAGTGCGACGTCTGCGAGGACAGCACCAGCACGGGGAGGGGCCGGGACTCCATGCCGGCCGAGCGACACGACCTCACGTCCTCGTCACCTGCGGGGTCAGAGGTCAAAGGTTCAATGAGGGGGCTGGGTGAGAGAGAGAGAGAGAGAGAGAGAGAGAGAGAGAGAGAGAGAGAGAGAGAGAGAGAGAGAGAGAGAGAGAGAGAGAGAGAGAGAGAGAGAGAGAGAGAGACAGAGAGAGACAGACAGACAGACAGAGAAGAGAAAGAGAGGAAAGAACGGAAGAAAGAAAGAAAGAAAGAAAGAGAAAGAGAGGGTGGGTGGGGGGGTCAAACAACAGAGAGACCGCGACAGAGGAAGGAGAGGGAGCGAGGGCGGGAGAGCGCAGGCCATGCCCTCACTCCCCCTGGGTGGTCTCAACAGTGCCACGGTTGCTAAGGTCGCCTCAGGTCGTCTCTGCCGCTCTTCTCCCCGAAGCTTTGGTCAATCTCTTTCTCTCTCTTTTTTTCTCTTTCTCGTTGTTAATTTCCTGTTATTTTCATTCTCATAATATTTTTCTTTGTTTATATGCCTCTGTCTGTCTGTCTGTCTCTCTCTCTCTCTCTTCGCTCTTCTCTTTTTCTCTCTCTCTCTAGCTCTCTCTCTCCCTCCCTCTCTCTCTCTCTCTCTCTCTCTCTCTCTCTCTCTCTCTCTCTCTCTCTCTCTCTCTCTCTCTCTCTCTCTCTCTCTCTCTCTCTCTCTCTCTCTCTCTCGTTCTCTTTCTCTCCCTCTGCCTCTCTCTCTTCCTTTCCCTCGGTCATTCTAAATCTCTATCTTCTTTTCTCTCCTTGCCCCCTTCTTTCTGAGCTTCTCTCTTCTCTCGTTCCCTCTTGCCCTCCCTCGCTCTCCCCCTCTTCCTCTCTTCGTACGGCGGAGCAAAGCAAGGCAGACTTGGAGGCTTACGTAAGTGTGGCCAAGGTCCTGTGAGGGGAGGGGGCTTAGAGGAGAGAGGGAGGGGGGGGGGAGGAGGGAGGGAGGGGAGAAAGGGAAGAGGGGAGAGAGAGGGGGGTAAGGGAGAAGTGAGGCAGGGAGAGGGAGTTCTAAACAACCCGTGTGCAACTGAAACCCCCTATACCTCCCCTCTTCTTGTCTTTCTTCCTCTCCCTCTTCGTTCTCTTTTTCCATATGCCCTCTTCCTTCTCCCCAACACACACACACACATGAAAGCACACACACAAACTAAAACAACACACACACAACACACACTCTCCCCCATCCACCATACCCCCTTCCCCTCCCCTTCTCCCCTGCCCCCTGTCAGATTGTACTTTTTATCGGGTTTTGTGCAATGCCCCTGCAACCCGTTTCTGTGCGGGCATGGGTAAAGGGCAAGGGGGGGGGCGGTTAAGGGTAGGAGGGAAGGGTAGGAGGTAGGAGGAAGGAGGAAGGAGGGAGGAGAGGGGAAGGGGTAGGAGGGAAGGGTAGGCAGGAGGAGGAAGGAGGTAGGGGTAGGAGAGGGTGAAGGGGTACGGGGTACGGGTACGGGTAAGGGGTAGGGGGTAGGAGTAGAAGGGGAAGGGGTAGGAAATGAGGAAGGGGTAGGAGGTAGGGAAGAAGAGGAAGGAGGAAGGAGGAAGAGGAGAGGAGGGGAAAAAGGGGAAGGAGGAAGAAGAGGATTAGGGGAAGAAGGGGAAGGAGGAAGAGGAGAGAGGGGAAGGTGAGGAAAAAAATTAAGATGATGATCATCATCATCACGAATAAAAGGAGAAAAAAATCATGAAAATGATAATGACAATATCATGCATAATAATAAAAACAACCACAATACAGACAATGAAAATATTAATGACAATGATAATAATAACAGTCATGATACTACTACTGCTACTACTAACAACTTCAACAATAACAATATTAACAGTAAATTAATGATAATATTGATGATGGTGATGATATCAATGACAATTACAATAATAATAATAATGATAATAATAATTACAATAACAATAATAATAAAAACAATAACAATAACAATAACAATAATGAGAGAGAGAGAGAGAGAGAGAGAGAGAGAGAGAGAGAGAGAGAGAGAGAGAGAGAGAGAGAGAGAGAGAGAGAGAGAGAGAGAGAGAGAGAGAGAGAGAGAGAGAGAAGAGGGGGGGGGAAACTAAATCCAAGTGACCAGCCCTAACAAGGAATGTAGTAACCCCATGTATAGGGGCACAGAGTGACAGCGGCAAAGGGAGGAGGGGAGGAGGGAGGGAGAGGAGGAGGGGAGGGAGGGAGAGGGAGGAGGGGAGGGGAGGGAAAGGAGGAGGAGAAGGTGAGGGAAAAGGAAGGAGGGGAGGGAAAGGGGAAAGGAGGAGGGAGGGGGGAGGGAAAGGGAGGAGGAGAGGGTGAGGAAAGAGGAAGGCAAAAGAAAGGGGGAGGGGAAGAGAACGGAGGTAGGGGGAGGGGGAGGAGAAAGGGAGGAAGAGAAGAGGGAAGGAAGGTGGAAGAGGAGAAGGAAGAGAGATGAAAAAGAGATTGGAAGATTGGCAGAAAAGAAAATACCAAAATGAGGGGGAGAGGAGGGCAGAGGGGAAGAGGGGAGGAGGAAAGGGGAGAGGGGG